AAATTAAAATAAAAACATTTATTATGACTATCTTTTAGTAATACAAATAAAAAGTATAACAAATTAAATAAAAATATTTATATTTTTTAATAAAATAAAAATATTTATATTTAATAAGTACTATAGTACAATTTTTTCAATGAGTACAGTAATACAATTAAATAAAAAAGAAAAGGGGTATTAATATTTTTGACTTTTTGGTCCCCCAAAAGGCAACTGCTGTACAGTATAGTATTACTATTTAGTTTTGTTTGAATAACGGTGCTGCAACATTTGTTAGTGTCATTGGAGGCCACAAATCTTGTCTTCATTTGTCTAAAAAGTTCGTTGATTTTTCCAAATTTTCTGGGATAGAAGAAAAAAAAATACAAAGGAAATACCCTCTTTAACCCTCTCCTCCCTTCAATATCATATTACTAGTAATTCATGTCCAAATAACCAAACTTTATAACTTAAAAATAAAACTCTCAATTCTGAATTTAAAATCTCCCACCAGAATAAGTTTAGATTTTCAATCTTGGTGTTAGTGTTTAAAAAAAATTATTTTTTTTAAATATATCAAATTAATATGAGGTGTATCTTTTAAATTATTTTAAAAGATACATTTTAAAGTACACACAAATTAATTAAAAAATTACCTTAATCTTAAGGAAAAAAAATGGAAAAGCTTTGCAAAATTGTTTTCTCACAACCAAAATTTAAACGTTTCCAAGTTGGGGTGTTCATATTCATGGAACGCTTAGCTTAGTTCTAGAAGTAGAACCAAACGATGTTCCTCTTTACTGCAACAGCCCAATCTATGTGTTGCTGTTACATGACATTCAATGCATAAAGCCTGAAACTAGTGCTACCAAACTTCCACTAATGGTTTCCCTGCAAGGGTTCTGTAAAAATGAACAAAAACAAAGATTGTTATTGTAATTAAAACTTACAAGCTTAATGGTTCTGTTCACATAAAGAAGCAATTAATCATAGTCTTCCATAGTAAAAAAGGACAGATAATGTGAGAGAATTAGAGGAGTAGAAAAATACTGATATAATTTTATGGATTTATCTAGTTATACCTTCATTTATTGTACCTTTTAAATATCAATTAATTTAAAAAATAAACAAATAATATTAATTTTAATACTTAAGTTATGTAGAGGATTTTAATTAAATTAAATAATTAATTCATTTGGACTAGGTCT